CCCCGCCCCGACAGCCCCCAAAACCGGCCCCGAACGAGCAGAGCCCGGCCCCGGGGGGAGTTTCTGTCGGTGGCTGGACAGCCGGGCCCGGATCCCGCCTTCTGGGTGTAAGCTGGTTTTACGGGGTATCTCAAGTGGGTGTTACAAAACCCCGCAGGTTCTCTTAGGGAAGGCTTCGGTATCTCCTAAGTCATCCCTAAGAGGATACCCTTCCCTGGGGGGGGGTGCGTGGCCTCCATCGATAGCTTAATGAGGTTTAACAGTTGCGTTTCTCCGAAGAAGAGCCGTGAAAAGAAAAACCTGACTCTTTTCCTGTAGCGTCTCGCCTGTTCCAAACCCAAGCACAGTTGGATGCTCCGAGCTTGGCTCGCTCCGTGTCACCCTTGTCATCTTTACCTCCCCAAAGAGGAAAGGAACAAGGGGAATGAGCAGTCAAGAAGAACTTTGTAAATAATATTTGCAGGGTCACAGAGAGCAAAAACTGGAGGGAAAAGCAGTTCTTCACTGCATTGGTGTTTAATGCGCGTACCTTGCGAGCAGCCCTGTAGTTGTCCATTTGCCCTTAGTGGCGTCATATTGATGTTTCCTCTGTTAATACATGAAGTACGCGATTCAGAGAAGCATGAAATCATCAGGCAAAATTATCTCTCGCAATTTAAATGTCACATTTAATGCTGTTTTGAATGCCAGTTTAACACCTGCTAGGAGCTGCACAGTCAGGTTTGAGGAAGCTTTATTGTTATTTATGTGGTTGGAGAGGGAACTGGGATGGAGAGCGCTGACAGCGTTGAGGATGGGTTGCCTTGATGTAGATCTGAAGTTTCTGCCTTTTTTGTAGCTTATGTGAAGCCGTGTGGCATCCAGATTTACTGACCTCTATTAAGAGAGCAATAAGATGGCTCCTGTTTCGCTGTTGTTGTTGTGCATAGGGCAAAGCTGTTATCCTCTAGATAAGTACGTTTGTCTCAGTTGGAATTTACTTTGCAGCAGAAAATCCTCAGGGACTTTTATATTCCAGAACTTTTGTGGGAGTTGGAGGACGTCCCTCAGCAGCCTGGAAGGACTAGTACTGCTTAACCGGTATGCAAACAAACTCCCTTGGCCACGCTGCGATCTTGCTTTAGCTACTTGTGATGCGTTCCTAAAGAAGGTCAGAGGGCCGCTATTTTGAGTGCGATCTTGTTATCTCCGGGCAAATATGCTTTTTACATATAACGAGCCTTTTGAAAGGCTCCTCGAATAGTACCTTTGAGTCAATGACTTGAAGCGTCCTTACTAGAAAGAGGGAACATTTATGTCGTACCGCTCGTCCTAAAGCAGCTCAAATGAATTGCGAGAGAAAAAAAAAAAAAAAGAAAAAGAAAAGATGTTTCCAAGCAGTGAAGAACAGCTCCTCTGAGGTGCTGAACGTGATGTCTCTTAACAATAGAAAGCGGTTACGGGAGGCAGAGAATTTCCCAAAACTGTTAAAATCAAGCCTGGTAGGAGGTTACCTGGTAACAGTAGTCCTGCCATTAGTAAAACCCTACAGTGTCCTGCTTTCCGTGGCAGCAGACCTCAGTGGCAGATTTTTCTTTCCTCCCCCGAGATGAAGCCATTGTGTTTTTAGTGCTCGGGAAGTGCCTGGCAGAGCCTGGGAATAACATCAGTATAAAGCCAACTCAGCAAAATTGCTCACGCGCGTCCTATTTATCGGTGGTCGTAGCCTGCCCAGTGCGTTGCCTGCAGGTATTGCTGTCGAGAGGGGCGATTCCTGTTTCTGCTTTGTCATTCAGTTAGCCTTGCCAAGAAAAATAATTTAGCAGTGCATATTGTATTCTGCAGAAACCTTTGTGTCTTCTGAAAAGAGCTCTCGGCATGTTAAAGGAAACGAGTTAAAATGAGATGTAAACATCAAGGCTGGTTTTAAGATTAGACCTGAAAAGTTTTATTTTGTGCTTGTTCCCACTTTGCTGTTTTGATAATGGGAAGAGAGAGGCTGGTTTCACTTTCTGGTCCTCTAACCCTTGCACAGTGTCGCAGCTTTGATGTTTTCCTCCCCACTGGCACAGGGCAACGCTTACAGCTGAAGCTGTGCTGCTTCGGTTGAGGCCATCGTGCCAGAACATTTTAAAATTGATTTTTGATAAAACTGTTGTGCAACACAGAATCTTCGTCTCAAAGGGAACAAGGCAACATCTGTTTACTCTGATCAGTGAACTCCCTCTGATCTCTCCAGCGGTCGGTCCTCGCTCCCGACCGCGTCTTGTTATTGTGTACAATAACACAATATAGTGCAGGGTGATGGAGGGAGGCTGTGGCACATCCACGGCTCCCGACGGATACTCATGCCGTCTTTGACCCCCCCCATTGCAGGTTGCTCAGTGCTCAGACGAGCTGTTCTGCACGCGAACGGTATCTCCGCTTGCACTTCTGAAGCCGTGTTCTTGCAATGGTGCGCTGGGGGTGATTCTTGTGAACGGAGGGATGTTTGGTGCTGAGAAGAGGGAAGTTGTGATGAGACATTTACGTTTCTCTTCCCAGCGGGGAGAAAAACCAAGGATCGACCGATCGTGCTGTCCATCAACCGCATACCACACATTAGGTGGCAAGAAAACCATTTCATCCTCCTGCCTGCTTTAAATGAGCAGTGATGTGTACCAGGGGTACACTACCCTTGGAGGTAAAACCCTTAGGAAACCAGCTGATGTGAAGATGCAGTGTTTTCAAGCAAATCCGTATTTCCTTTCTGAAAGAAAAGAATACTGCCACTTTTCTTTGTATTGGCCAGGACACATCTGCAGGAATTTGGGACAGAAAATTATTACTGCGCCTGTCAATAGCTCTATTGTTTTCCACCAAAATGTGGTCTGCGTTAGCATGTGTCCCTCCTGGTGATCTGCTTCACTCGAGTTTTCTCTGATTTATGTTTTCCAGGATTATAAAGGACCGTGAAGATTCATAGATTTCTCTTTAGGACAAGTTGTATAATGGTCTGTAGGTTCATGATGATAGCTGTGACTTCAGAAAACTACTGGTTTGGGTTCATCAGGATTACATCTAAACATAGTGGTCCAAGTCCTACATGGATTAGTCCTCCTTGATCAGTTCAAATAAAGCCAACGGGATTGACTGGTAGAGAAATGTGAACAAGATTGTGGTACCACCTTATAGTCAGCAAATTAAATAGTCTGGTATGGTTTCTTCCCGATTAAGTTTTGGAAAAATATGTGTAACTCCAGAGGAATGGAGGGTCAGAAGCCATCGGCCTTGGCGTGATGCAAGCTCTCATTTCGGAGGACAAAAATAGACTTTTCCTGCACTAACCTTCCAATGTGAATAGTGTACCCGTTGCTGCAGAGCTATTTGTTCTCCCTCTTGTTTCTCACAGCTCTTCCAAATAACAACAGATTGAAACGTCTGTGCAGGATCATGCAGACGCAGCTCCAAGCTGGGGCAGCCTCTTTCAGACACGGATTCCAAGAGGCGCTTAGGAGCTTTGCTTTCTTGTTTCTGTACGTGTTTCTCTGTCTCTGCAGGGACAACGAAGTCTGCCGGTTCGGTAAATGCCACGATAGCAGAGGGATGCCAGTTAGATCCAGAACCCGGCACTGAAGCCTATCTCCAAAACATCTCTGTCACGTGTTTCAGAGGGGGAGGCAGGTTCCTTTCTTAGCAGTAGGAAATTCTGGGGGAATGCCAGAACCAGCAACCTATTTTTGTGCTCTTTTGTATACAATAGCTTCTCGAAAGGACTCGGAGCCTGATGCATTTACCTTCTTGATTTCCTGGAATAAACAGACCCCGAAGTGGGTGCTGTGTTGGGGGCCAGGCAGAGGATTAGCTTGTGCCGAGTGAGTCACACGGATATGCGACTTTGCATGAATCATATTTGCTGACACTGAGATCAGGCTCTTGTATCAGACTGTTGTGCTGCTAAATGCAAACTGTGCATACCTCTGATCACATCCCACTGGCGAGCTGAGCTTGCTTGTGTTCAAAACAAAGCGGGCGGCTTCAGGAACGTGAGATGGCCATGGGAGTTTTCACAGTTATTTCAGCCACTATGCAAACATTTATGCTTTTTGGGATGTTATCTGCTAATGGTCTCCATTTTCAGGCATGCCCCAATTTCTGTGCATGCTTTCAAATGGAGTATGTTTTTTTGGGATGGGGAAGGGAGTCCCATGTCAACATAAACGAAACCTGAGCTTCGTTGATTTTTTTGAGACAACAAATCGAGCAGTCACCACTAGGTGCCAGCTTGGTGGGATATCTTGATGGGGGGACTTGAGAACTGGAAGAAACTTGGATTTAATTGCCCTGCAGATAACTTCACAGCCCAAGAAGTTCAAGCACTTTCCCCTAGACCGGCAACAGGACACGAGCTACTTTGTGCCCACTTGCAAAAAGCCAGCGCTTTTTTGGGACCTTAGTACAAATCAAGCCTGGACGCTTGTCTGCTTCTTCCTTCTAGTGTTAATGGTCTCCAAGCTTCTCTCTCTTGTTTCACCCTTCTGAGCTTGTAAACCTCTAAAAGAGAATAGCCTATAATTAGGGACTAACTTTTTTGCCTTGATGTCACCTTGGTGGATCTGTCTGAGGTGGGTTTGGCTGTGGCATGGCAGCCGTCAGAGATGGGCAGGTGCTGTGTAGGTAAAGCAGTGAAGAAGGGGAGAGGGGAACGGAGCAGACAGTTTTCCCAGACGTGGGAAGTCAAACCGCTTTTGAAAAACATTGAGATTTTCATAACTGAGGCCGCTGGGTTTGTATCCATTAGACTAATTATATTGGCCTTGATGCTGCAAATGTGCTCAGAGGTGAGAATAGTAGAGGCTTTAGTACAGTTGGTCCCTGTTGTTCCAGCTGTCAATTTTATTGCCTGAAACAGCAACTGTATTTTTCTCTTTAGCGGTGTATTGCCATTTTCCGTCACAGCTTTTTGTTAAAATCTGGCAGGAAGTCTAAATAAAACGGCGCCTTGCTTCAAGAAAGGTGCACCAGTGATGGGATTTCTTGAACTAATTTAATCTACCAGCATTGAATACTTAACTGTATCTCTGTATTGGGCAGAAAATTTTTGGCAGGCAGATAGCTGACTTGTTTCTATGACAACTGAGATCATGTCATGGATACTTGGGCAAAAAAACCGAGCGCTCACAGCTTCTGCTGCGAGAAAGCCGTATAAAATGTGACCACAAATTTCTTACCACGTGCTTGCAGGAGTTAAGCTGTTTAAAGAAAACTAAGACAACTCATTTCTCCTTGTATCTTTCTTTAGGGTGATAAAATATTTGTTCACAAATGTTGCTTAGGTCTACTGATTTCAAAAATATGACAAGCGGGTTCGTATGTGGCTTTTTTCCTCCGTCTGCTCTGGTTCATCAGTCAGGAGAAACAGACCTCACAGAGATCTGCGGGTTTTACTTTCTTCTCATCATGACTTGTGTAGAAACGAATGAGTTAGGATAAAATGTACGTTGCTATCTTGATTTTTATTCCTGCATTACTTATTCCCTTGGTTCTTCAAGAAGCCTTCAATATTGAGATGATAAATTGAAGAAGGGGCACTGGGCTTGCCTGCGGTGCTGGACAG